GCAGTGCGTCAGTGCGCGCCCGGGATCCGAACCCGGGCCACCAGCAGCGGAGCGCGCGCACTTAAGCCACGGGGCCGGCCCGGGAGTGTGGATCTTGAGCATGGCTATTGTTATCAAGCTATGACATCCTGATGCACGATGCCTGGCACATAACAAGAGCTCAGTAATTGTGGAACAAATGCATCTATCTCCTTTATATATATATATTTTTTTTTTTTAATTTTTATTTATTTATTTATTTATTCCCCCAAAGCCCCAGTAGACAGTTGTATGTCATAGCTGCACATCCCTCTAGTTGCTGCATGTGGGACTCGGCCTCAGCATGGCCGGAGAAGCCGTGTGTTGGTGCGCACCCGGGACCCGAACCCAGGCCGCCAGCAGCGGAGTGCACGCACTTAACCGCTAAGCCACGGGGCCGGCCCTCTATCTCCTTTATAGATGCTAACAGGGAAGTTCAGGATTCTGGTAGGCCAACCCAACATATTTTTTGATCAGGTAGATTTTTTTCCTTGTTCCTCTTAAATGGCTATATCATGTAAATATTAAATCCAGTAAAATTTCATGTCAGGGAATTATATAATTGCAACAATTAAGTTTTATCTATCATCTCTGAGCCTAGAAATTGGAACTGTTCATTTATAAGAGATTGGAGATTGCTTTCCCATGCCCTATAGTGGTAATGGTGGTAGTGGCTGGATGATCTGTATTTCAGAATTCTGTTTGGTGGCTAAGAGTGTACTGCGTAAAAAGAACAACCTTGGGTGACTCTCAGTGCTGGTACTTTGCTAGAGGTGGGACATTTTAACTTGGGAATTGTACTGTGGTGAGGAGAAACAGTTCCCTAAATTTCTCCCACTCTTTAGATCCCCCTCAGGGGGTAATTCTTGATACTGCTTTTAAAAATAGACAAAGAGACAAGCCTTTTCAAATTCCAAAATCATTAGGAATAAGATGGATAAATGAAAAATTGGGGTAAGTCCTATCTCGTAGCCAGAAGACACTTTGTCTCCTCAAAGGTTTTTCCAGCTCTAGGATAAGCTATTGAGACAGAGGAAAAGATGCCAGGCTAAGGAGTTTCATTCAGTATTTTAATAATAATAATAATAAAAACAAATACAAAATCCAAACATTTCTTTTTACAAGTTCAGATACAATTTTTCCCCAAGTGCAAAATACTCTATGAACTGCATCATTTACTGTTTATTGTTGATTGTGTAGGAGACGCTTACTATATTGGCAGCAGTGGAAGGCAGATATAAATACAATATTTTGAGATTTCTTCTGCATTAAAAAAAAAAGAAAGCCTCCCACATGGTAATGATTATTCTTTGAAACTTCAGTTCAACTCACACAGAAGAATAAAGTTTTCAGTTTGTCCAAACTGCTACAATCTGTGTTGTCTAGATAAGCTGATAACAGAATTGGGAGTTCTAGTCCCTCTAATCATATATTTTCTTTAAGGGTTCCTAGTCCAAATAATGGCTCAAGGGCAGGGTGTGCTACCTTTGAGACAGGTCAAATTTAAAGATATCCTTGTGTTGTTTGCTTCCACTTTTCTCTTACTTTGCTTAAGAAAGCAAGCCAAGCAGGTTATTTATTTTCTGCTTATGGTCAGTTATACTTTGTTTCCCTTCCCTTAGTTTGAGCCTGTTATGTTCAAGTTAAGCAGCAAATACAAAAGTTTGAATACTCTATAACGTTTTCTGACATTTTGAGATATGACCTCCTAATCCACTCCAGAGTCACCTCAAACATACATATGGAGAACACTTCTCAGATATAAAAAGTTTCACTAGGGCCAATGACCAGGATTGTATTACTGAACTTTCAGCAACAAATCTGAGCCCCCACCACCTCAAACTAACTCAATCCTGGGGAAGTCAGAGCAGTCACAGCTCACTGTCAACCTCTGGGGATTTGTAGGCTTGGGGCACGGCAGCTCAAGTCCAGGCTCTGGTCAGTTTTCTCCTGACTCTGCGAGTTCCCTCAGGTTTAGGGAATGGGCCTGGCCTAATAATACAGAAAGAGGAAGGCAAAGAAGTAAAAAGGAATTGCCATGTTGCTGAGGATATAAGTGCCTTTCTGATATGCATCATTTGGCGCTTGGAGCCCTTGTAGAAATGGCTTCCCATCCCCAAACTCATATCAGGACAGGTTTTGTACTAAGATAAATGAGGCCTCACAGTACTGTGGCCCTGTAAATACCCCATCCTGCAGAGAGGCCTCTGGGTTGGTTCATGAAAGGTTCCCATTTACACCATCTTTCCACTTTCCCACACTGGTAAAAACCTCTTTTTCTGTCTGGCCTATAAAGGCTTAGAGAGTCCCTGAGTGTTGACTCCTCATTCAGTCCACTTAACCCCTAGTTTGATGCCCCAGGGCCGGCTTCCCCCATAGGTTCAGCAGCAGCTTTGCCTGGGTTCTTAACCCCCAACTTGGAAGATCTAAATTAAAGTTGGACATTAGCAGGTCTTCACCTGCTCACTAAGATCTGTCTTGACATCAGTTAAGAAGCCTAGTGGTCTATACTTTCCATACTGTGGAAGTCATTTGCAGGTCCCAGAAACCATAGAATAAATTATTGGAGGAAGTGTGTTTATGTGTATATATGGGGGAACAGGAAAAGAAGAGAGCAAGGAGAAGCCAGACCCTGAAGGCATAAACTGGGAAACACTGTTTGGCTTTCTAAGAGATATGCAAAATGGTAGGGAGAGAGGAATCAGAAAGTTATCCTAGCTTCTCGTGGAAAATTAGGATGGTCAAAGTTGATTAAAGCAGTTTTCATGGCATTTCCTGGGAAGTGTGGATACTTCGATTAAAAGATCATTTCCTTGCTTGGAAGCAGCCATTTTGTATCTTTACCTTGGAGCCCTCTTTGACCCAGAGACACAAAGGCAGCCAGGCACTCCACCCCCAAAGGCCATGGTGTTGGCTAATGGATGTCAGGGTATCTAGCTGTGACATTGGCTACCTACTGCCTAAGGCTGTTTTGGCTGGTGAATGCTACTGTTGGGGGCGGGGGTTAGGGGGGCGGGCAGGAAGGCCAGACACCTTTTAGTGTTGAGTCTCCTGGGGGAGCAGTGGCCTGGGACTGTCACTTAGAAGTGAACCCTAGGAGTCAATTGGTAGCCTCTGATTGAATAGGACTACAGTTTTGGGGGGAATTAGGAGCAAATGGAAAATAATTTTACAGGCAGCAGTGGATTGAGGGTGGAGTGTATGCAGGATCTGGGCTTGGGCATGGACTTGATTCTTCTTCCTTTTGAAAAGCAGTAATTGAGGAAGCTAGGCTTGAAGTCAGCTCCGAGAGGGAATGGCGAACAGATAGGAGTAGGCAGAGTGCACAAGGTCAGGCAAACAACTTCATGCCTGGATACCTGTCCTATTCTTGGCTCTTATAGCCTTGCCTCTGGCCTCAGGGCCCTGAGTCAGCCCGTCCCCAGGGGGTTTGTCCTGGTCCTCTTCCATGTGGATCCCAGGGGAAAACAGCGTGAAGGCAGGGAAAAGATGGAGGTTTTCCCTACTTGGGGTGGAGAATCACTGACCAGTTCCATAGGCCTCTACAATCACAAGGTCCATGCTGAATCCATGGAGAGGCACAGGGTTGGCAGGATTGGTTTAGCAAACACAGGTCCCTCTCCTTCCTGCTCCATCAAGTCCCCAGAATTACCGTCCTACACATCAGGTGCCTCTGAGCTACAGCCCTGGGTTACCCCAGCAGAGGGCTCTAGAGGTCTAGATGGCCACTGGTGGGGGAGTAGGGACAGATCAGATGCTCCAGCACTCAAGGTTCATGAGATTCAAAACCTTTTTTTCTTCCACTCCAAACATACACTCTTCTCTCTTGGGCAGCTATAAATAGGGTTGTTCTAATAGAGGAAAAAGAAACAAAAACAAAAAACAAAACCAGAAAACAAAAACCCCTCCCTTTAGACAACATAGAAAGACTCAAAATGATTGCACTTATTAGATGTGGACAGGGTGGGCAGAAGGCTTGCCAAGTGCACACACATTCCTCTTGCTGCCCATAGCCTGGGGCCAGAGGTAGGTGGCTCTGGGCTGGCTGCAGAGCAGGGTCCTCTTTGGTGGAGCCCACGAGCCATCTGGGGCTACAAGGGAAAGACAACTCTGGGGCAAGGCCCAGGCTGGCTTCCAGTCAGCAGCCATGTTTCTTTTGGGATAACACATAACAAAGGGAGTAGGGCTCCCCCAGGGAGCACTCGGGTGGGTGTGAGGGGATGGCTGGGCCAGGGAAGACAAAAAAGAAAAGGGATTAGTGTTTCAGGCTGGCTCCCGATTGTTCTGTAGTCTAGTCCTTTAGATGATACATTTTCTTTTTTGTTGTTTTCTTTTTTTCGCGATGCTTTAAAACCTGGTTTCTGACCTGCAGAGCCATAGTCTTTTTCTCAGGGAGCAACAGCAGCACATTCAACATGGTAATGTCTGCTGCTCTTTCTCATTCTGCCAGTGTCCACTAGCCCGGTGGTGTGGGCCTTTTGTAAGCCCTCATGGGTTGGACCTCAGGCAGACATGTGGGGGAAGAAGGAGAGGGGCTGTATAGACAAGAAAGCCGGCTATGTGGGCGGTCTAGGGCTCAAACCATATGCCCCAGAGGACCAGTGCTGGCATTAAGCCTGTAAATCAAAGGCTTCTTTGGCAGAACTCTGGGCTGTTAGAATCACCCTGGGGGGCACAGCCAGGGGACATTTTGGCTCCTGACTAGCAAGGCACACCCTAAAATGGCAGAAACCCCTCTTCCCCCTCCCCATTCCCCACTAGACACACTTCGTTTGTGGGGCCTCTAGCACCCTTGTACGCTGATGGGGCCAGGGATGTGAACTTGTAAAATGGACAGTGTGGCTGGGAAGGGGAGGGGGCTACTCTTCCTTCCCCCCTCGGGGAATAGTGCCAGCACTGAATGGCTTTTCCAGGGAGCACGTAGGAAAAGAGAAAACAGTGAAGCGAGAGAGAGAGAGAGAGAGAGAGAGAGAGAGAGAGAGAGAGAGAGAGGCAAAGAGAGACAAGGAAACAAAGCTAGAGAGACAGAAAGGGAAAGTGTTTGGTCTATATAGTGATATTTTTTTTTTCTCCAAAAAGAGAGAGGGGAGTTTCTCATCTGAGGGTGGGGGCTGCCAGCTCTGAGGGCTAAAGAGTCTGTGGGCTTCAAAACCTGGGTCTTGGGCCTATGGCACTATTTGTAGGGCCTAAGGAAGCTGGAAACTTTGGAGCGGAGCAGCTTGATGAAGGATTTTGGCAGCATCTCCTTGTGCTTCTCTGTGTACTTGAAGTAGTTCTGGGGGTGGGCCAGCACCTCGAAGAAGGCCTTGATGAGCTTCTTGTCCTGCAGAGTACGGCAGGCGGCAACATCAGCCTCAGTGTTGTGGGTGGGAAAGAGGAACACCAGCCTTGGCTCTTGATGTCTAATAGGCATACCCTGAGGTTAACTCTGGATTCCCATCCCCACCATCTGTTCCTCCTTTAGAATTCTACAGCTCAGTCAATGGCAGCTTCATCCTTCCAATGCTCAGGTCCCAATCCTTGGAGCCATCCTTGACTCCTCTCTCTTGCTCACAACCACGGCAAATCCTGTTGATTCTACCTTCAGAATATATCCAGAGTCTGACCACTTCTCACTGTCTCCACAGCTACCACCATCTCTCACTTGAACTACTGCAATAGACCTAACTGGTCTCCATGCTTCCCTCTACCCTTGTCCCTCTACAGAATGTTCTCCCTTACTGCAGCCAGAGTGACTTTTTAAGTTTTTAATTAGATCGTGTCCTTTTTCTATTCAAAACACTTCTCTGATTTCTTTTATCACTCAGCAAAGCCAAGTCCCTTGCATGGCCCATAGGCTGAATGTGATCTGTGCCCTGCTGTCTCTCCTTCATCCCCCCTTGACTTTTCCTTACTCTGCTGAGCCACACTGGCCTTCTCAAGGTTCTCGAACATGCCACACTACTTCCATGCTCCTTAGCTTGGAATGCTCCTCTCTTCATCTTCTAATGGGTAGCCCTTTACCTCATTCAGATCTCTTCTCCTCAGAGTCCTTTCCTGACGACCCTGTCTGAAACAGCAACATGATATGTGGAGAGTCTACTAGGTGCCAGGCTCTGTGCATTAGGACTCAGATCTTCTGGCTTCTAGGCTAATGTTCTTTCCATTGCATCAGCAGATTTTTAAAATAAGAAGTGGGGCTTCCAGCCTCTCATCCGCACTTTAATCAGAACAGTTCTACTACTTTATGCATTGGAGTTCCACAGCACATTTGAAATGAGGGTTCAGATGCTTTAAAAAGTGTTTGAAAAGCATTGCTGATATTATATTCTTTGCAATCTACAAGTTCTAGAAGATTTTTGTCATTATTTTGTCTCTTATTTTGGTAATACAAAAATTATTTTATTAATCATAAAGATAAAATTTTTTGCATTGATAGTTTGTGAAGGATCATACTGTGACTAGGACTATAGTTTCTTAATAATTTTTTTTTTAATTTATTTGTTTATTTTCCCCCAAAGCCCCAGTAGATAGTTGTATGTCGTAGTTGCACATCCTTCTAGTTGCTGTATGTGGGACGCGGCCTCAGCATGGCCAGAGAAACGGTGCGTCGGTGCGCACCCGGGATCCGAACCTGGGCCACGAGCAGCAGAGCGCGAGCACTTAACCGCTAAGCCACGGGGCCGGCCCAGGACTATAGTTTCTCAAGATTTTCTCAAACTAGGATCTGCACACCCAGGTATCTAGTCCATTCTTCAATGTTGGAAACATTTCTTTACCTTTAAAAGAGGGCTATACTAAGTTACCTCTGAGAAATGCTGTGCTAGATCTGCTGCTTTTCTGCAGGATGGAGTAAGGGAAGGAAGGAACTTATGCAAAAGCATCTTTCTATACTTCAATTTCCCTATATTTCTTGGTGGAAGAGGTAGGGGTCATTTCATTTCCTCATCTTCCCTTTCTCTTCCCTCAAGGTATAAGATAGTATGGGTGACACTGCAGTCAGATGAGCTTGGGCTCAAACCCCAGCTTTATCATTGGGCAAGTTCCATAATTCTCTGTGCCTCAGTTTTCTCATCTGTAATGTGGGAATTATGAAAGTACCTACTTCATAGAACTATTGTGTCTATCAAATGAGAATATTCATGTAAGCACTTAGCATATTGCCTGCACATTGTTGCATGCTCATTAAATGTTGGGTATCATTATTGTTGTTAATATTCACTCGCCTTTAAAATCTCCTGGTGGTTTTCAGATGCATAAAGCCGGCCATCTCGCACAATGTCTTCTACCAGCTGCTCATAGTCCTCTGCAAAGTCAACCAAGGGGAGGAGTTTAGGGGTAGGAAATCTTCCTGCTCCCCTTGCTCCCTCCCAAGACCCAGGAGCCTTCCCTTTCTCACCCACCTCCCTGGCTCTCCTGCCCGTGCTCACCATCATAGGTAACATAGGGAATCTGGAAGCCACGGGCACTGTTGGCCTCACTTGTCTTGAAGTTGATCCAGAGCTTCCTGGAGCGGGCCGTGAAGGCAATGGGGCGCTCGTAGGTCTGGCAGGTCTCATAAGTGGTAATGGAGGATGGGGAGGCTGGGAAGGCAAGCAGTAGGTTAGGAGAGCAGCAGAACAAGCTACCCTGGGGTGAGGGCTGTCGGGTGAAGGAATCATGCTGACAGAGGCTCTCCCCACTGCATGCACCTCCCCTACCCCCAACATACACATATCCTCTCCTACTGCCCTGGGCTTGTTCCACAACTCCTTTCTGATATCCAGGAACTCACATAGTATAAGAAATTTGATATTTACATGAATGGAACAGCAAAAATGCTAGAATAGGAAAGTGACACATGTAACACTATTGGAGTTCTAATACCAATGCTGGCTTTCTTAACTCTGCTCTCCACCAAATATGTAGCATTCACTGCTGTTTTCCTTTGTTAGCTTCTCTCCTCCCAAGGCCTCCCTTGTCACTGCCCCAATTCTTCCTGTACCAATCTTCTCTCTCCCTCTCCCTCCCAACCAGATTTGGACTGCCCGTCCCTAGCCCAGCTCTGCAGCCACCCACAGTTCTTTCTCATGACGAGGACATCCCCACACTCGTCCTCAGATGGCAGGAAGATCTCGGGTACCACGATAAGGATCTTGCGCTTGGGTGGGGGGTTGATGTTCCAGATGCACTCCACGCCGGCTGGGTAGTTGCCTGGGTAGTTGGGGGACTCGATATAGCCAGTGAACTCACCCAGCTCCCCACCACACTGGCGATCTGTAGCCAAGCCCCAGTGGACAAAGCAAGAAAGAGAAAGGAAGTCAGTGGGGAAATGGGTTGGGGAAATTGAAGAGTTCTTAAGTAGAAATCAGACACGTGTAGATAGCTGTCTTCCTAGTTTATCATCTACTCTCCAAGTTCTGGGTCCACCTTCCCTCCTACCCTTTTAGTACCTTCTCATCTCACTTCACCTGTCTCTGCCTCCCCATTACCTCACTCCAGGGAGAGGGTACTAAAGGGCCCAGCCCAGCAACTGGTCTTGAGATTGAATGGGTTGGGAAGAGATTGAGGGGGGGACTTGCCTGCCCATCCACTCCCCAGCCCTGCTCTCTGTTGGTTTACTCTCTGTGGGCATGGTTCCCATGCCCACTGCTCCCAGACCTCTCTACCCCCTTTTCCATAGCCTGGCCTGCCACGTACTCTTGCACTGGGTGACACTGGTGGAGCCATCAAAGTCAGTGCTTGTGTTTCCTGGACAGCGGGTGCAGAAGTTCTGACGAAAGTCAGGCTGATAGGAGCCCATGGCACAGCGGATACAGCGATGGATGCTGGTGTTGTAGTAGTGCCCAGGGGAGCACTGGACTGCAGGCAAGGGGGAAAGGTAGGAGTAAGATGGCAGGCAAGTGGGAGTTCTGGGGCATGGAATGAGCAGGATGCATTCATCATGGAGAATCAGGAGACTGAAGACACCAAAGTTCCTTCCAGAGTCCCAACTTTCCTAGTCAGGCCAGAATTTAAGTCCAGGGAAATACACACTTGAGAGTGGTTGGCTACAGTGCCAATCCTTTTCCTTCAGGCACTGAGCATTGTGCCAAACCTGTACAGAAACTCATCTGTAGTATTGAGAGGAATGTGCCACCAGTTCTCCAAAGTAGAGGGGTGAGTGTACTGTTATTCATTCCCCAATTCCCAGGCTTGGGATTGGTGGAGGGTCGGGATGGGTCCTGTGAGCAGGATAGTATGGTTGGTCAGGCAGCTGGGCCTTATCGGGTTTGAGGAAGAGGGTGGGGCAACATACTTGGGTCCACTCTGGGGACCTGGAGAGTTTTTTTGGAAATAGTTGGGGTTGGGGAGTCCCCTAGTGGGGTGGGTAGCCCACTCACCTTTGGTGTCACAGTCTTGGAAGGAGATGGCCCCCTCGTGCTTGGTGGTGAGACCCCCACCACATGGGAAGCACAGGGTCCGTCCTGCTTCAGGTTGGTAGGTGCCACGTGGACATGGCTGGCAGGGCTTGAACCCATCTACAGAGTGTTGGCCAGGTGAGCACTGACCTGCAATGAACCAAGGGCCCAACTCTGATGGGGATGGTCCTGGTCATCCCCATGGGGTCACCCAGTCTCGGGACAGAGGCATACAAACAGGACATTGACTAGGAGAGTGGCCTGGAGCCTGGGCCTGCCCTTGGGAAATCCCATGCCCATGGGCATCCCAGTGCCCACCCTATCCCATTCTGTATTGTTTGTTCCCCTGGCACCTGCACACGTGGTGACGTTGGTGGCTCCGAGAGGCCCGTGGGCATCACTCCCAGGGCAAAGGTCGCAGGAGAGCTGCCCTTCTCTCTCCTGGAAGGTGCCCGCTGGGCATGGCACACACTGCTCCGTCTGGCCGTGGTAATACGTTCCCTGCGGGCAGCTGACTGAGGGAGAGTCGGCCGCGCTAGCCACCCACCCCCCTGCCCTCATTTCCCACCACCCAGGCCTGGGACTCCCTTTCCCATTCCCCCAGATTCAAGGAGAATCTCTTTGTCTGGGAACAGACAGAATCCTGCTTGGAAGGACCAAGGGCCAAACCCATGTGCAGGAGGGTTGGTGGCCCCACATGATGTCCCTCTAGATTTCAGCCTGGGACCAGTGAGGGGAGAATGATGGGCAGGAAGGTCTTGGCTGCCTCACAATTTGAGAGATGCAACTGAGGCTGTAAAGTGTCTTGCTCTGAGCCAGGCCCAAGCTGGGCCTTCCCCTCTCCCCTGCTCCCATGTTCCCCAGCAAGCTCCCTTACCACACTTGGCCCCGGCGCGGTGCTGCCCAGGCCTACAGGCTTCCACTAGCTCAGCTCGCTCCCCAGCTACCGGGCCTGGCTTGTGGGCCAGCTCATAATCAAGGCCTGCTAGGCGCAGCAGGAAGCGGTCCTGATTGATGGACTTTCTAAGCATCTTCAGGGACCCTTTCAGCCGCCGTTCCATCCGCTGTCGGAGGCAGGGCAGCCCACAGCTAGCTGGTGGTGGATGGTGGTTTGAGTCAGGGAAGGAGGAAAAAGAAAGAGTGGTTGTGAGCAGGAGGGTAAGGGAGCAAAGCGAGGAGCTAGGAGGGGCGTGGTAAGAGGGACTGGCTCCTGGGCTTGGCATTAGGCAGCGTCTGCCCTTAGTACAGGTTCTGCCCCTTTTCCTTTGCTGTTGAGACCTGTGGTTTCCCCACCTCTGCCCTCCTCTTTCCACCCTCCTCCCAGGAGTGCCCCCAGTCCCACCTGTGGTTTCTTCGGCTCTGACCTCTGCCTCCAGTTCCAGGGTGAGCCGAGTGACTTCCTTGCCTGGAGGGGTCCGGGCCCGCCGGCCCTTGCCCTTCCGAGAGGAGTCACACTTGAGGTGGATGAAGGTGACCTGGCAGTCAGAGCAGGGGGCACCACCTGGGGGAGAGGCCTTGTCAACCTCAGGGGCACCCCCTGGGGACAGGGAAAGTTCTCACTCCCAGCTCTCACTTTTCTCCTCCAACCCAGACAGACCTCACCAGATCTCTGACTACAACTATTTCAATTCTCTTTGAGTCTAAGACACTAATTAGTTGGGTGGGGGGGAATATCCTAGGACTTCCTTGGGCCCTATCCCTACAACTGCTTCCTCCCCTGCTCTATCCAGAGTTCAGGGTACCCATGGGTTTCTGGAGATCTCCTTAAGCAGAGAAGCTGAGGGGTGGGAAGGTTTGGTGGCCAGACAGCCCATTGGAGTGGGGTCCCCAGTCCAGACCTGGCCCCAGGATTCTGCTGGCCTCCTCTGTTTTGCCTTTGTTTCGCAGGTGCAAACGGCATTTGGCGTCCTTGATCTTGAAGGAGGCCCGCTGTTTAACTGACAGCACTGCAGCCTCTAGAGGGATGGTAGAAGCTCAGCACAGCCTGGGGGTCCCATGGGGGTGGGGGCTGCTGTGGAGGGTGTTGAGAAGCTGGGCAATAAGCCAGGGGCTTGGCTGGAGGAGAGGGATTACGAAAGCCAAGGAAATCAACGTTAGGGGCAGAGGGAGCAAGGCAGCAGGGCTGGAGAATTACAGAGCAAAGAAGGGATCCAGGAAAAAGTAAGGGCAGGAGGATTAATGAAGAATAGAAATAGAGGTTAATAAGCAAGAGACAAGGCCTCTAGGCTGGTGCTCACCATGGCAGTGGTTGGAATTTGTGCTGTTCCCGGTGTGGCCAGCTCGGCCTGGAGTGGCCCTGGGGCTGGGCGTGCCACAGCTCACTGTGAAGCCATTCTCAGACTCTGAGAGAAGGGGGCTGTCACAGATCTGACCTGCTCCCCAGCCCCCACTGGATGGAGGAATCCAAGGGGAGCAGAGGAGCTGCCTGAATAGCCAGCCTTTCCTCCCTGCCAGCCCTCCAGCAACCGCCTCTATGTACCTGGCAAAAACCGGGCCCGGGAGGGGCAGGTCAGGGCACAGGTGTCCTTCTTGCCAGATCTGTTGCAGCTGAGCATGGCTTTTGAGGCACCAGGACTGCTCTGACACTTTACTGGCTCTAGGAAGGGGAGAGAGGCCTGAGGAGGAGAGGGCCTTCCTCTCCCACCCTCTCCCCCTCAGTTGGGTAATCTGGAGGAAGAGAATTAACTACATGCGGAACTGTAATTGTACCCAGAGACTGATGAAGGGATTATTTACCAGAAACTTCATGTCTCTAACTCAAATGGCTACGTTGTCCATCCCCCACTACCTCATACCTTCCTCAGCGTAGAACCCCAACATCCCCCTGACACTGTAGTGCCAGCTGCAGCCAGCAGAGGGCACTGCCCACCTGTGCAATCCTTGCCGTTCCAGTGCAGCCGGCCCTGGCCTGCTGGGCAGGTGCACTGGTAGCTGCCAGGAGTGTTGATGCAGTTGAAGCGGCAACCTCCTTGGTTGATGCTGCACTCATCCACATCTGGGGAAAGGAGTAGTGAGACATAGACAAACAATGGTGGGGGAGGAGTAGGAGCCAGGGAGCCGGCAGTGAGTGAGGACCTTTGGTTCGAGTTCCAGGCACTCCAAGATGACTACTGGCCTGAGAAGAGCTCAAACCTAGAACCTCTTTCCCTTATCTCTGACCCTAATCAACAGAATGATTGGGAAGGGGCCAAGCTGATGAGCTTTTTAAAGCCTTCCACTCCTACCTACCAGTGGGCCTGTAATTTGGGAACTAAGGATGGGAGTCAAGGGGCAGTGATAGGGATGCGAGACAAATTTTGGAGGCAGGATGCTGTTCCCTGATACCCTAGTTTCCCAGTTCTCTTAATTCCTCCCATTTCATCACAATGGATGCAGACATGGCACATGCACCTGGGGATTGATTGCCATAGCCACAAGCCAAATCAGGGACTTGTTCAATTGAAGGGTGAGGAGCTGAGAGGGGCCAAGTGGCTGAGGGTCCAAATTTGCTGGCTTACCCCCACAGTGGGTGACACCATACAGCAAGTAGCCATGATGGCAGAGGCACTGGAAGCTTCCTGGCGTGTTGACACATATGTGGTCACAGGTTCGATCAAAGGAACATTCGTCTATATCTGGAAGAGCAAGGATTCAAGCCACTCAATCTGTCTTGGGGGACTTGACTCTGGGACCCCTTGCTCAGGTGAAGGACCCAAGTGAGGGGCCTTGGCTCTCTCACTTAAATTGAAAGAGTCCCTACTCATGGCCCAGACCTAGGATCAATGCATACCATCCCCTGTGCCCCCTCCCCCTCCACTTGGAGTCAGTCCTTGGAGTGAGGAACTACGAGATCTGGTGCCTATGGTTCAAGGCCACTATGTGTGGTTATGCAGGTCAAACCCTGCAAAGGATATGAATTGGGGTGAAATCCATCCCTCATTCCTTCCCAAGCCACGTGCCACAGTGTGGAGCTGGTCCACCAAGAGGAAGGGGTACATGTGCTAACTCACAGCATGACCATCTGTGGAGATTCACCACAGTGTCTACTGAATTTCTCAGACTCTGGCCCTCTGGCCTACTTGAAGCTCATTTATCCCAAGAACCTCTCCCAAGGCTTTCCCCTTGGCCCGTATCTGCTCACCCTGGCAGTTCCTTTCATTAATGAGAAGCTTATAGCCCTTCTTGCAGCTACATTCAAAGCTGCCCACTGTGTTGCGGCAAATGTGGTCACAGCCTCCATTGTTCAAGCGGCACTCGTCTATGTCTGGGGAAGCAGGACAAAGTAGAGAGAATCAAAGGTAATACTGAAGGCTGGGGACCAACAAGGAGACAAGATCCTTCCCTCCCTCACAGAGCCAGGGAAAATCAAGTCGAGCCCTGGATCTGCCCCTTCTGACTCCTCTCAGTCTCCCATTTCCATTTCTTCCCTGTTCAGGGGATCTGTGCCATTAGTAATACCTTCTTTTCTTGGACCGAGTCCTCTTAGGAGACAGATGGGAACCAGAGTCAGGCCCTCAGGGAATTGCCTGGAGCAGGAAGTAGGTGGGCATGTGACCTACAGGGCTAGTCCATGTCCCTCACTCTGCCACTGATGGCCCTTCACCAAAAGGCTGGTGGATAGGTTTATCCCTTTCCTGCCCCCCACCCCTGCCAGTCACAGGAGTCCTGGGAGTGTATGGCACAGAGAGGTGGAGATTCGAAGGGGCAGCCCTTCAGGGAGGAGGAGCTGGGAGAGAGGCCAGGCAGGGAGGACCTCCAGGAGAGCCAGTGAGGCTGGGTAGCTGATGGGGGAGGGGTGGGGACCAGGCAGGGGGCTGGAATGGGAGAGGTCTGGAGAGACTCAGGCCTGAGGCAGCTTTCAGCACTAAGAAGGGAAGGGGGGGCGGGTAAGCGGCTTCCTTCCTGAGGTCAAGTTCCCCAAACTGGTGGCAGACAGGACCCAGGCTACTCACCCCTACTTGGGGGAGGGGGCAGAGAGGGCAGCCTTCCACTTCACTCTTAGCATACCTGTCAACAGTCTTTCCCAGCAGGAAACCTTTCAACTCTGGCTGTCTGACCTACTGCCCTAGCCCTCCCCTAGTCCTCGCTGCCAGCTGTTGGGCCAAAAGACACAAAGAGCAAGCCCAGTCCTCCTTCTAGTCCCCACTCCTTGTGACCAGGGGACATAGACCTGATGAATCATTATTTTCAGTATGGCCACCTTCCCTTTTTCCTCCCTCCACTCCATCTTTCCCCCAGGCCTGGCTAATTAAAAGGAGGGGAAATAGAATGGGTAATGTGGGAAATAGTAATAATAATAGCTAACACAAAGTGTTTACCATTTGCCAGGCACTGTTCTAAGTACTTTATATATAATTTATATATAACTCATTTAATCCTTACAACATTCTTATGAGACAAGCACCATTATTATGGTGAAACTGTGGCACAGAGATACTAAGTAACTTGCCCAGGATCGCAGAACTGGGATCTGAACCCAGGTAGCCAGGCTCCAGCATCAGTGCCCCCAGCTGCTATCCTATGGTCCCTCTGACCAGTATAGCCTTTCCACTGGGAAGGTCTGGGGAATGTGGGTTAAGAAGGTTATGAAACACACCTGTGACCTCGTGCACACACAATCCGGACTCAAATATCCTTCTAGACCCAGGGACAAATGTGAATGGCATGTTCATTAACTACGAAGGTTAGGGACCCGTAGTGGGACAGGAATGAGAACAGAGAAAACAAGGTAGGGTAGGGGCAGGGGGCACTAAGGAACTGGCTGGACTTTTGTGCCCCTTGAACTGAGATGGGAAAGGTAGACAGGAGACAATGTCCTCAGTTCTTTATAATCGTGTCCTCCAGGGGGTTGAGGAGGTCCCATAATAGGTGCTCTATCTCTGGTCCCAACCTCAGCCCCTTACCCTCAAGCTCCTGTCCTCTGAAATCCCTTACCTTTGCAGGTCTTCCTGTCTGGCTGCAGCATGAAGCCCACGGGGCAGCTGCAGTGGACACCCGTCGCTGCATCGTGGCACTTACTGTCACAGCCCCCATTATTGACAGCACAGGTCTCTGTTTAGGAGGGAGGTTGGGGATGGTAACTGGGTTATTGGCTTGGAGGAGTCCCAAACTTGAGGGTAGTGGAGAGCACAGAGGCCCGAGGGAAGGCCCTGGCTGCCTCGCTGTGCTTTAGAGGGAGCATTAAGCAGAGGCTCCCAGCCCCCTTCCTCCCATCACTCCCAGCCCCCATCCCCTCACAAGTGCAGCCAAGCAGTCCACTTCCCTGCCCCCTACTTGATTGAAACAAGGTGGACAGCAGTGAGGCAGGTACAAGCCAGAGCTGTCAGGCAGGAATGTGCTGAGGGGGTGGAGGAGGTGGAGAGGGGAGGGTGCAGGGAGGAATGGGAGCTAAGTAAGGGTGGTTCTCGCTGCCAGGGAATGAAAAGGGACAGATAGGAGTTTCCTCCTCTTTACACCAACTATCTCTTTGGTGGGTGGGGGGTCATGGTGAGACAATCTCGGGAAGAGTGAGCCTGGTGATTCCTAGGACAGCTGAGGGATGGCCATCAATTCATCTTCCCCTTCCTCCTTGCCCAGCTGTCTTAAGAAAGATCCCAGTTCCAGGACTCACTGCTCATCCTCAGAGGAGACAGCACGTACTTGATCATTTCTCAGCCCCTTCCCAGCTACCTCCAACTCCTCCCGGGCCCTCCTTTTAGTTCCAGATGGAGATAAGCTGGCTGTTCTGTTGTTGTTTTACTCTCCTATTGGGGAGATGTTGTCTAGGGTAGGGTAAGGGGCAAAAGGAGAAGAAGAATCTAGAAGAGAAGGAACAGCATAAGAAGGTAGGTGAAAGAATTAGAGAACCTCAGACCTAAATCTCTTCCGAAACCCCTCTTGGCTAGTAAGATTTTCCCTTTGCTGAGTGGTCAGAGTGAGGCGAGTATGGATGGGTCACTCTCCCTATTTTCTGAATTCAGAGCAGGAGAAAAAACAGGTTTAAACTGTAGCTCAGGAGAGTCAGGGGAGCCCAGGGAAAAACCACCACCTCCAATAGTGCAAGGCCCTGACAAAGGGACTGTGGAGGAGGTGTAGGCCATCCTCTGGGGGGCCTAGAATTCTCCCATTAGAGAGACAAAATCTGGAGGCCTCTGCTAGAGAAGAGAGGAGAGTGGTTCTCAGAATCAGGGGAGCTGAATGAGAAAAGCAGCGGAGAGTACTATCATCGTCTTGAATCTCTGACTCCTAAAACTCATGCCCAACCCTGTCACTGAGGAGACCAGCAAGGCAAAGAATCCAGGGGAAGGCCAACTCTGCCAGTGGGTCCCTGGTCATGCCCTGGTCCCACAAATGCGCAGGTTTGGGAGCAGCCACAGTGGGATCTCCTATGTACCACTCCCACCTTTGTCTCTCCTGGGGTTCCCCAAGACCATGGAAGGATCTTGGGAGGGAACCTTGAATTCAGGCCCCAGGCCCAGCCATCCACCCAAGAGTGCTCTTAGCATGAGAAGAGGTCCCTCAAGCCCTGAGCAGGGAGAGGGGAACAGACAGCCTGCGCCAAGTCTAGGTTGATTCTGAGGAATGCAGGATGGGGAGCAGCAGAGCTGGCACAATGTCCATCCCAGGTTGGACCAGGCAGCTGAGCATAGCTGCCCACCCCTGTAGGGCAGTGTTCTCCAGGGCAGGTTGGGGCAGCAGGATGGCCTGGCCTCAACCCTTTGTTCTTCAGGTCACAGTGTTAAAACCACAAGTTACTCTGTGCTTACTCTGTGGCAGGTGCTTACTAGGTGCTCTACACACATTATCTCAATCATCACAGCAACCCCAGGGAGGACTCTTATTCTCCCTATTTTATAGAAAAGTAAACTAAGGATCAGAGCAGAGAGTAGCTTGCTTGAGATCATATAGTTAGAAGGTGGCAGAGCCAGGATTCAAACTCAGATCTGTCTGAACTCAAATGTGATGCTCTTAACCATTATGGTGGGAGAGAATGGTGAGTGATGCTGGGACTGTGAGCTAATGTGGGTAAGAACCTAAGAAAGAAGCCCCAAGGAGGCGATGGCATCTCACCCTATCCCACCCTTATCTCAGGTGGCACAATGGGCACGATGGGTAAGATGGAGCTGGCTGGGTCTTTAGCTGTGTAGAAAGCAGAGAGAGGGAGGGGGCAGGTGGTTGGGAAGGGCTGAGGTGTTAGAAGGTGGGTGAGGGAGAAGGTGGGAGGAGGGAGCAGGAGAGGAAGGAGAGAAGGAGTGTGACAGGATCAAAGACAAAACCAACATGAAGGCTCTTGCGCCAGCTCATGGGGATGCAGGTTTCCTGTCACCCAATGGGCCCAGTACCCAGGTTGCCAGGCAAGCCCTGCTGGCAGGCTGGAGCCCAGTCAGGCTGGGCCCAATGGGCATGCGGTTAGTGGGAGCCCCAGCGGATTAGCCCTTCCCCTAGCAAGCCAGTGAGAGCAAGCCGAGAGAGCAGACATATTTACCATTAGAAACGGCCTGAGGGGGGATGTGCTGCTCTAGCCGCCTTTCCCCTGTTTGACATTGTAAAAAAGCTGTTTAGATGCTAGGCAGGAGCCACTGTGGCCCACTGTGCCCCAGCCCCCTTCCCGCCCTCCTCCTCCGCCCTGCAGGTCCAAACCACTAGCCCCAAGTGATGACTCCTGAGACTCCCACATTTCATTCCCCAGCCTTGTCCTGCCTGGTATCCTCAAAGAAGCTGGGTTCCCACCAAGTGACTGATGGGAAGCTGAGTCTCAGAGAGGGGCAGTCATGGGCCCAGTACCACACAGCATGCCAAAGGCAGAGCTGCCAAATCCCAAAGGGTGCCCACCCTTTCTGCTAAACTATACTGCCCTCTCAGTCTCCCCACTAATTCTGAATGTCCTGATGGCCCCGAACAATGAAGTTTCCTCCTACCAGGGCTGGGGAGAAAAATGAGATACAGGGCAAGGTAAAATAAATTTTATTGGAGAAGAGGGAGAGGAACTCAGAAAGAACATAGCTGTGAACCCTAGAACAGCCTCATTTGCTCTCTTCTGCCTCACTTGGCCGTGGCCTAGAAGGCAGAATGGGTCTTGCATTAGGGAAAAGCTCAAGCTTAATAGGGATATTTTCAAAAGCAGCCGTGCCCAGGACTATCTGAACAGAAAGAAACCAGAGAGGGACCCAGCCCCACATCCATGGGCCCCAAGCTCTGTCCTGATACATGCAGCTTTTTGGGGACTGCATGCAGTTTCTTTGGGGGAGACTCTGGGGATGTGTGAGTGTGTCCAGGGGATGGTGGGAGGTTTAGAAAGCAGAAGAATTAGACTTATGAGGAAAAATGAACTGGAACAAACCAGCCTGGAGAAGGCAACATAAAGACCTAAAAATGTTCCAGGATATTTGAAGAGTTAGTTTAGAGGGAAACATGTAGCAGGAGAGATTTTAATTACGGAACTTTAGAACCATGAGTGCAAGTCCCTCGAGCAGGTACCTGGGGGAGACCTTTAAGAGCATCAACTGCTCCCCTGTTCTTGTGTCTGGGGGAAATTCAGTGCTGTCTGCAGAGATGGGGTGGGTCTCTGGAGTGAGATGGGGGAGAGTCTGGTTCTTAGGCTGAATGTCATGTTTCTAAAATACACACAGACTGACTGCGTTCACATCTCCTCATCCCTAGCATGTTGTAGCCCATGAGATGAACGGCCATCCATAAATATTCGTGCCCACAGAACAAGTTCGCCCCCGGCCTGGCTCAAGACATAGCCTTTCCCCCTAACCAAACACTTCCCTTTCAGTTTCCACTTCTCCAAGGGGACACCTTATCCCATCATCTTTCTCAGCACCCTGTGAGCACATAGTAATTGGCCTTCATGAAAGACCTAAAGATTTAGGGAATTAGGAATTAAACTTAAGGAATTAAACTCATCTGTGGTACCTGAAGATACATAAGGTAAGGCCTAAGAATTCAGGAAAAGGGATCCAGATGTTAAGAAGGCCCCAAACCAGGGCAAGAAGGATGGAAAGCTAGAGTTGGGGAGGAATTGAGAGGGCTACAGGCAGAGCAGAGAGGGAGTACCACTGGAATGTGGAGAAGAAAGAAGGAAATGGGAGTTAGGACGAGGGGAGCAGAAAGGGGATTTACAGGAGGAGAGCGAGGAGAGAAAGGATAAACAAGAAAAAGATACCTGGAGTCAGGAAACCCCATTTCTCAGTTCAGGGCTGGTTGTTCCAGGAAAGAGCACTGTCCCACCCTCAGTTCCAGAGTGGGGACAGTGGGCTGTGATAGCTCCCATCTACCACACTAGTCAACCAGGGCCTCTGGTCTGGCTTAATCCGCTGCATTGCCCCAGCTCTCCTCCCCCTTCTCAACCACAGCCTTAGTCAACAAGCACCTTGCTAATTATTCCCAGTTTGACAACACTTTATCCTGGATAAAGAGGATGGTGAGGCTCCTGGGGGGAGGGCAGTAGAACCAATGGGTGAGGCAGGAGAAGAGGGTCAGGTGAGGCCTTCAATCTCTCAGAGTTGTCCCTCACTAGATCTGGCATTGTCTGGGTCTTCAACTCACTCACCAGTCACTCTGCATCCAGCACCTGGGACCCATGTGCTCCCCACTCCCCTGGTTCCCACAGGTCCCTACCCCCACCCCCACCCAGGTGGACTGAGTTCTCCACTGTCCTCACCCACCGATGCATGTCTTCCCGTCGGTATGGAGCACAAACTTGACATGACAGCCGCACCGGGGACCCTGTTCTGTGTCATCGCACGTATGCTGGCAGCCACCGTTACCATAGTTGCACGTCACTGTGCAGAGAGGGCAGGAGGCCTGTCAGCTTGCTTCTCCCTGGGTACCACAGTTCTCCATAACACGGATACTGGCCCTTTTATCTAGTTGCCTCTCCCATGCTCCCTTTTCCTCCCACCTTTTGCTGCTGAGCCCCCACTCCCCTCCTCTTTGTCTCCCCTTCTCCCCCACTGCCATCCCAATTATCTCACATTTACAGTCCCGTTGGTTCTTGGTGAGCTCAAAGCCAGGGCGGCATTCACAGGCAATACCACCTTTGGGTGTCTCTCGGCAAATGTGAGCACAGCCATGGTTCTTGTTCATGCAATTCATTCCTTCTAAAAGGGAAGACGTGGGTGGTGAATGCTCTGTAGTCCTGGACACCTAGAAGAAGAGGAACTAGAAGGGATAGTTTGGGCCTAGGGAAATGAGAGAATTCCACTGAGGCTGCAACACAGAGAGGAGACTGACTCTTCCCCTCATGGGCCCCTGTCCTGCCCAGAGAGCTGGGTGCTAAGGAGCAGAGCTCAGTGCCATTATGAATGATGTATAGGTATTGATACCCAGCCCCAAGAAAACCCATATGATCACCCTATCCTTCAAACAACCAAAAAATAGTGTCTAGGTACTGTGTTAGTGGGTGGATTTAGGAAGGACTCAGAAAAATAGAGGACATGATCTCTTTCCTCAAAGAGCTTACAGTCAAACTGGGAAGAAGATAAATAACATTTATAATGTGAGTGAGGAGTAATTGGTACAGATAATTACTATATGATTTTATTTGACAAATATTTATTAAACTCCCACTACATGCAAGGAAGAATATTAGGTTCTTGGAATACAAAGATGAATTAGACATAGTCCCTGCCCTCAGAGAGGAAGAGAGCAGAGTCACAGAAACAGACAACACATACTCCACTATTCCTGACTGACCCTCCCAATCCAATCCAAAGAATGAGGCATCAGTGAGGCCCTCTCAGATAACAGCAGGTTAGAGCTCGGCCATCTACAATTAGGTACAACATCCACCTTGGGTATGGACACAGAGGATGCCCCATAGTAGCCTCAGTCCCACACTGACCCCAACCCCAAATGAACTCTCCCAGATTTTGCTCTAACACAGACCATCTGTCCATGGAGCCCTTAGAATGTGACTGGGTTGAGGGACAAGAGAAGGAGGAGCTAGCAGAGTTGAGAACAGAGGGTGAGACCTAGGGGGTATTGAAGGAAAGCTCCGAAGCAGACTGAGAGAGAAGCCTGGGAGTGCAGGGCTGGACCCTCCCAGGTCATGGGCTGACCTTCCGGCCGCTGGATGCAGGTGTGCTGGTTGTCGCTGAGGAAGAAGCCTTCCCGGCAGTGGCACTCATAGCTGCCCATCATGTTGACACAGCTCTGCTGACAGCCGCCGTTGCCCTCGGCACACTCATCCACATCTGTGCAAGATAGGTGGTTGGTGAGGCCGTGGGGTGCAGGTCAGGGTCTAGGATATGCCCTGAGACTTCAGCAGCAAGGGCCGAGAGCAGTCTTAAGAATCTAGCACACACACCCCATCCCCCAAGTCGAACACCCAGCCTTAGGCCAGGCAGTTCTCACTCACTAATCAGCTAATGTTCCACTGCTCACAAGAGGCCACCCTAAGAGGGCAAAGGTGTGCAGCTGGTGGGGAGAGGACATTTGAGCATGGCTCACTTAGGTGAAGAGTTGTCTCCCTTTTCCTAACCTGTTGAAGTTGGGTCTGAGGGCAGAGGAAACCAGGAAAGGAGCCAGAGCAAGAGGAACAGAGATGAAGATAAGAATAGAGATTGGTCGGGGAGAGGTACTAGGGGCAGGTAGTTGTGATGAGCAGCTAGGGAATCAGAGAACCTCAGTAAAGACTTCATGTGCAAGGAGAACTATGGCCATAGTGCTGAGGTCAAAGGAGCAGGGTGGGGAAAGGCAGCAAGCTTCAACTCCTTGCGGGGCAGGGACCATTTCTATGGACAGGCCACAGCTCCGTCCTTCTTCCCTTCCCCCCATGCCTGGGCTTGCTGCCATATTCCCTAGACTTTCTCCTATTTTGGTTTAACAAAACAAAGTCTGGTAGCTTGTCGGGGAGGGGTGAGGAGAGAGCTGCCAGGCCACACCCTAATCACCACCCCAAATCACCACCCCCAGGTCCCAGAGCCAAGCTCATCCTGGGGCTCCCACTTTAATGCCTTGACTCCATCTCTATGCTACCTCCTGCCCTCCCAAGTCCACAGCCCTTCTCAATTTTCCTTGGCCCAGGAGGTATCCTGGAGATTGGTCCCCAAATGGAGCAGCTGGAATCTGGGCTTCTGAGGGCCTCATCTGCTCCTCTCTTCCCATCCTCTCTGCTGAGCCCTGAAACCCTGTCCTTTCCCCTTCTGCCAAGGGGAGAGGGGCCCAGATCCAGCAGGCTCCTGCCTAACAGATGCACTTTTGGGAAAGCTAAGGAGGTATACTTTCCTTTGCCTTATTCCTGTCTCTGTCCCATCTCTCACTAGACCCCTGACTTTTCCCCATCCGTCTTCCTGTTCTTACCCCATCCTACATTTCCATCCTTCTGTTTGCTCCCTTCTATTCCAACCTTGTGACTTTGCTATTCTAGCCAAGTTCTTCCTTCCAATTCTCAGTGGGGAAACTGATGCCCAGGGCATAGATGACTTACTCAAGGTTCCCCTAAAAACCAAAGGTAGGGTTAAGACTTTGAACCCCAACCCTAGGGTTAGGGTTAGATAGACCTTTGCTCCCCATTCCATACCTACCCATTCTCTTATCCCTCTGGTTAGTTTTCCCCAACACACTTATAGGAAAACTAGACTTGGTGAGAATTGGGGGCCTAGAAAGGTCGAAGGCAACCAAAGAACTCAGAAGCTGATGTTTGCCGTCCTGGTCCAAGTTTCACAGCTTCTTTTTCCAAAGGAGTCCCCAAAGAGGCCGTCACAGGTGACTGGGCAGATGAGTAGTGAGGTCCTTCTCTGATTGCTACAGTGGTAGGAGAGGTGGCCAGGGCTGGGGGGAAGGGCCCAGCAGGGATCAGGGTTTAGAGGCCTGAGTTGGGAGCAGAAACCTATAAGCCTATAAGGTCCAAGGATGGAATATGACTGGGTTCAGAGGCATCTCTAGTAAGGAGGCTCTCCTAGGCCGATGGGACCTCAGATAATTCATCTGTTTGGTCAGGTGGCGGGTGGGGGAGCAGCCTAGCCTGCTTTTCCAGGCATCATTCCTCTGCTTCTCTTCCTTTCCTGGTCTTCTATTCTTCCAGTCTCATATTTCTGTTTTGGCACCAGAGAGAAGGAATTTGGGAAAGAACCCCTGGGTTCTCATCTCAAACCTTTTTCTGCTATGGGCTTCAGTTTTTCTACTTGGGGAAGAATCTGACATGGTCCCAGTAATTTTCCAAAATGATACAGACCAAAGTTGAGTTTAGTTCCCTAGAGATTCTCCTATCTCTTATCCAGCTCCTGGGACAAAGGAGATGAGGTCAGATTGACGCCTCACAAGTGAGGAGGGTGCGCCTGGAGACTGCAGGAGGAGCTGGGAGAAAACCAGCCTTTAATTAAGGGTCAGAGGCTCCACAGAGTACAGGGAAGCAGCAGTAGCAGCATCGACAACATTCCTCTCCTTTACTGAGCACCTACTGTGTGCTAAGGATTGTACAGGGCTCTTTACACATGTTCTCTCATAGTGATTCACTCAGCAGCCCTCTGAGTGGGATATTACCATCTCCATTTTAGAGATGAGGAAGCTGAGATTCCCAGAGATTAGTTGATTTGCCCAAGGCCCCACAGCTAGTAAGCAGCAGAGAGAGCCAGGATCTGTCTGGAGCCAAATCACCTTCCCACCACACTCCATCCCCTGTGGCTAAACCTACTAATGTCATCTCCTGGCCCTTGCCCTGGGAGCACTTTCTAGCAGCATCTCCTCTGATGTTTTTCATCCAGCAGCAGGATTATTTCACTTCAGTGTCCAGTCTCAAAGGGGAGGCTGACCTTGTTCTCTGTTTTGTGGGAATGCAGCTTTTTGATCACTTTCCTCTCCTTGCCTGGGAAATGGGAAATGCTGAAAACACTTCTTCCCCACAAGACACCTCCACCCACATCCTTCTCCCTTGCTCACCCAAACAGTTGTGGCCGTCATGTGCCAGGTGGAATCCATCATAGCAGGTGCATCGGTAATTGCCAGGGATGTTGACACAGTCATGCACACAACCTGCATTATCCTCTCGTTCACACTCATCCACATCTGTGGGCAAAGAGGAGCGGAGGCAGCTGGACCCACCTGCGTGCCCCCTACTGTCCACCCCTGTGCTCCTCCTTGTGGTGGTTTTTTAAAAAAACATAGCCTTCTCTGTGTGTGTGTGTGTGTGTGTGTGTGTGTTTACATAGTTGCTTTCATAGCCTACAAATCATTTTGCATTTTATTTTCATTTAAATTTGTCATAAACATTTTCACGTTTCCACTCAGTCTAACTACCACTGTACATGGTTGCAGAATATTCCATCGTGTTGCTATGTCATAATTTATTAATCCTTTTTCTTTATTGTTAGATTTCTTCCATTTATTTTACTATCATAAATAATGCATCAAAGAACATCTCCCATATATTATTTTGTTTCTTTGAATTTCCTTTGAATAAATCTTTAAGAGTAAAATTCCTGGGTTAAACGGTATAAATACCTTTTAAGATCCCTGCTAGGTATGACAAAACCACTTTTCAATTTATAATGTCACCAGGAATTTACGAGTGTACCTTGTCCACTGAAATCTTACCAACACCGAAGGTCAGAAATTTACAATAACATCTCAAGACTGCTTTCATTTGCATTGCTTTAATTATGAGAAGATGTGTTTGTATACTGTATGAATTTCCCCTGGGGTAAACAGTCTGTTCTCATCCTTTATGGGCATGGTGTAAGAGTCTAAAGATGGAAGTTCCAATGTCAGGGAACCTCAGGCCTTAGTCCCATGATTCTAATCCCCCCACCCAGCCAGGTTGTATGGCTGTGAACTACTCCCACCAGGGCCTCAGCGAGCCTATATAGTGCCTTTGTGCTAATTAGAAAATAGCGCCCTCTTGGGAAGAAATAGCTGCCCCCCAACTCCCCTCCCCATGCCAGCGCAGTGTGGCCATCTGAGGGCACGGATTTCCCCTCTCCGGCAGGTCCACCTTCTCCAGATTCCCTCCCAGCCTCACCTTTGCAGTGTTTACCATCCCCTGTGTAGCCAGACTTGCAGATGCACTTGTACGACCGCGGGGTGTTCTGGCAGATAGCATCAATGTGGCAGTTGTCGGTCCCCTCCACACACTCGTCCACATCTGGCAGGGGCAGAGGAGACACGTGAGACCCCCTGCTGGTGCCTCCCAAGGGGTGTCTTGAAGGTGGTTCCCCAATGGGAAAATCCCCTCCAGAAGCAGGTGCTCTTCCACTCCCCTCTGATTTCAGAGTGGGCCGACTTTGTAATTTCAGGAATTCAGAAAGAACCCCTACTCCCCTCAAAAATACTTAATCCACAATGACAGCTAGAATTCCATCATTTGAAACACTCCTCTTTGATTTAAAAACAAACAAAAAAACCCTTGGACTGGATAGCACACTTAACTTGATTAGAAATATTCAACCTAGTGTGAATTAGTTTTCCTTTCTTAGGAGGAGGCTTAGGGGGAGGGGGAAGAGAAAAGGCATGGGGACAGTGGCCTCTGAGAAAGTGGCAGAGTCCACCAGCCATTGATAATTAAAGGAGGAAGGAAGGGAGACGGGGCATCTGAGGAATCCTCATCTCCTTCACAATTCTGCTTGAGACCAGGCTTGCTCTCACTTGCCCACCATGGCGCCAAGAATCTTTAGAGGAAAGAAGTTCCATGCTGGAAGATTTCCCTCAGCCCCTATGCTGTCAACATCAGAGGGACTAGGAGCTGGCAGGGCTGGCACTAGCAACCTGAAGCCTGATAAGTGCAGCCCTGTGGCTCTCCAGCTGACTCAGGCAAGCCCACCCATCCCGCCGCCCTGAGCGCTTTCATCTAACCCCAGGTGCTCTCTCTCCTGGCCCTTGCTCTGACACCAGGTGCTACTCACAGAGCTATGCTAAAGAAGAGGTCTCCCAAGGTCTAGCAAAAAAGGTGGTTCAGAAAGGACAAAGGAAAGAGAATCATTTATCATCTTTGAGCAAGAGTCCAACTTCTGGGGCAATGTTATGATGCCCAGAAAGCTGAACTGAAATAAGGAAAAATGTTTCATTCAGTTGAAAATGCTTTATAAAGTGTGTTTGTGAAAGGTGCTACACTGAAGGCTGTGGAGGCTGGGCCCAGCCAAAAGAAGAGACAAATAACATGAAGCAGGATGGGGTTGAGTGCCAAGAAGGCATTAGAGATAAGGTGAGGGGGTCCTCAACGCTGGCTGCACATCAGTCAACTCCCCTAGGAGATGCTCAAGTGCCACCCCCAGAGATTCTGGTCAACTAGTCTGGGCTGGGTCCTGGCCATCAGTACTTTTCTAAAGCTCCCCAGGTGAGTTTAATGTGCAGCGAGGCTTCAGAATCTTTGTTAAAAGGAAGATCAGAGGAGGAAGAGACTACTTCTAGCTGTGAACTGGGAAACTCAACATAGTAGCAATCTGCAAGTAAAAGAAAAGGGATTTGAAATCAAGACCAACTTCCAAGTGTGATCTGTGGACTGTAGAATTGCCTGGCTTTTGTTAAAATGCAGATTTTTAGGCCTTATCACTGACCTAATGAATCCAAATCCTAAGGTGCTCGATACATTTTTTACTGAATGAATGAATGAGTGGACCAGTGATTGCTCCAATTTATAGACACCCATGAGTCCTAGCTTGAAACAGTTAACTGTCCTCTGCTTTCATATTTCAAGAAGTACTTTGGGGTCAGGACTGAAGCTTCCTGGGGCTATGAAGAGAACTGAAATTTGGAAGAGTGCCCCCAAACACTCTGCCTCAAATCTCCCAGGCTTCTCTTCAGCTCTGCACTCTACCCTCCAACTCTCTCCGACTCCTCTGCAGCAGTCCACCATGCCCAGTGATTCTAACTGCTGTAATTCACACTTATTCTCCACCTCACTCAGGCTCTGCAGTCATGGTGTCTGCCTGCTGCCCCACTCTGGGAAGTTATCCCAAAGTGAAAGAATGGAGAAAAGAGGCCATGGAAAACTAGTTCATAAGAACTTTTCTGATTCCCTTATTTCTTCCTCTTTGAAATGGGAGTGATAAAACCTCCTCATAAGAGGCTGTGAACAGTTGATGAGATAATTTGTGTAAAGAACCCAATAAAGTGTCTGGTAAATAGTAGGTTTCCAATATATGGAAGTGTGAGATGATAAATATTAAATCACTGATTCAGACAACAGATGCTCTAGGACTGTGTTGTCTAAGATGGTAGCCCCTAGGCAAATGTGGCTATTTAAATTTAAATTAATTTAAAATTCAGTTCCTCAGTTGTACTATCCACAGGCCAAGTGCTCAATAGTCATACGTGGCTAATGGCTACCATAGTAGACAGCACAGATTTGGAACATTTCCAGGAAGTTCTGGCAGGAAGTTCTATGGGACAGTACTGCTCCAGGAGTTCTGAATAAGGGATACCTCTGGGCCTGGGTGGACCAAAAAAACTTCCTGAGGATTGGGATTCAAGTTGAGTCTTGGAGGTTTGATAAGCATTAGTCAGAAGAGGAAAGAGGAAATTTCAAGTGTGGTTAAATGCATGAAGAAAGACAAGGCACCCAGAGGTCCAAGTCCTTCTTGTCCCCACATTTACATGTGCCCTCCACGGTGGGGAAAAATATTTCTTAACAACTAATTCTAATCTCTGAATGGCTTAAGGCTTAGGTTTATATGTTCATGTTGGGTCCCTGGAGGAGGGACTGGATGATCACCCCCTTCTCTGTAGTAACCCTTGTGAGTCTTAGAGGCAGCCTGAGGCACTGGACCTCATGGATTCACTGGAATGCTAGTGACTAATAATCATCCTGTTCATCCTGCTTTGAGCTCTCTTCTCCTTCTGTCTCTTTCCATCCTTTCCCCAGAAGCCAGCAGGGCAACCTGGAAACTAATCTGGAAGCTCTTCCTCTAGGGCCATCTCAGGGGTATACTCGCCCGTCTCTGAACCAGCTAGTGCTTCACTAGGGTCTGCATCAGGCTATCTGGGTTCCTAGTTCTTTCCTCTGCCTCCAATTCAGTGCTCACCAGTACTAGAGTAGACCCTGATGCTGACTGCAGCAAACTCAGGCTTCCTGGCAGGGCCTTTAGACCCTTCCATCAGCTGGGCTTTTCCCGCCATCTTACCCCTCTCCCTTGCTCACTACGCTTATCCTCCTTCAGTAAAGAGTCTCTGCTCTGGAAAACTTTATCTTCTCCTTATTCCCTCTACAACACCTAACCATTCTACTACCCCTTCCCACACATTCACACACATCTCATTCTTCACATTTGAGATGCAGTCCTCTCGTTTCTCTTCTAGCCACACTGTGCCCAGCTTCCCAAATCTGGCTCAAAATTGTCTTCCCAAGGGTCTGGCCCCGTGGCCTAGTGGTTAATTTGGCATGCTCCGCTTCGGCAGCCCAGATTCACAGGTTCGGATCCCGGGTGTGGACCTACACCACTTGTTAGCTATGCTGTGGTAGCAACCCACATACAAATCCCACATACAAAGTAGAGGAAGGCTGGCACAGATGTTAGCTCAGGGCTAATCTTCCTCAGTTAAAAAAAAAAAAAAAGTCTTCCCAAAAGCTCTTCCTGGTAAGCCTTTATTCCTGGTGAGTTCCTGGCCCTGGGGCCTCAGTTTGCCTCACCTCACCTGCAGCTACTGCTGAGTTGCTCTGCTAATGCTCTAAAGCCATATCATGTGGCATGTGCAGCTTTCCTCACTTGGCTGGTCACTTGCTGAGGAAGGGACCCTTCAACTATTTGGATGTAATCTTTCAAAGAAAAACAGGCCTAAAACAGAGCTCTGAAACAGGGCCCCAAATTATACCCAGCATCTCCTCTTTTTTCCAGTTCATTCCTTCAGAGCTCCCTCCCTCCACATCTGCCCACCCATAATTTGTCCGTGCAGGGATCCGTTCAACACCCCTGGGCACAGTCTTATCTTAGCTCATTCTCTCAGGATGCAGGTATCTACTACTGGCCTCACAAACTAGTGGATGCTGTTGGGCATGGACTGGTTTAGACCAGTGGTTCTCAACCCTGGCTGCACACTGGGGTTCCCTGGGGGCCTTTTAAAAACTGTGACTGTCCAGGCACTCTCCTAGACGAGCTGCATCAGCATCTCCAGAGTGAGGCTGGGCTGCTGTCTGTCTTCCCTTCCCAACTCAAGTAATGTGAATAGACTATTTGCCCAAGCTGGGAAGAGACTGGGGGCAGCCACATGACAGAGTATTTGAGAAAAGGAATTCTGAAGTGATACTGTGTCAGTCAAATGCCAGCTCCACCTGTCTGTGTGGTCCTGAGCCAGCCTCTGAATCTACCTGCTCCCTCCTCTGTAAATGGGAATAATAATAATAGCACCTCCTCATGGGGCTGCCATGAACATTCAAATGAGTGAATACTTATTAAGTACTTAGCATTGCAATGCAGGCATATAGTAAGTGCTCAATAAAGATTTGCTATTTTTATTCCTTTTCTCCAACTTTCTCCCCAGTATCCTTTCTGAACTCCTCTCCCCTCCCTGCTTCCCCTTATCAAAGTCCCATTTCAGGCCTGGTGTAGGGAAATGCAGCACCAGGGGAGCATGTGATGGTACAGGGAATTTTGGGGAGACATCCCTGAAGGTACCTGCTCCACTGCCTATTCCACCATGCTGAGAACTGCCCAAGGAGGAGGGGGAAGTGGGTGAGAGGCCAGTCGGGAGCCAAAAAGCTGCCCTCCACAATCCTTTGTGAAGGCTATCCTTTTGTGCCCTGACCCCCAACCCAGGCACTGGGCTAGATCAAAAGCTGAGTTGGGGGAGAGTGGCAGCTACAGAGATACCACAGATGAGGCAAGACCTCCCTGCCTCACCCTCTCCTGGCGTGAATGCACAGGTCTGTAGCTGCAGCAGCTTTTCCCAGCGCCATCTGACATTTCTTCTGGATTTGCTTCAGTGCCTAGCAGAGCGCTCCATAAACTCTGCTAAATGTAGGGAGGAAGGTTGAGGTGGGGGTTGGGGAATGTGAGCCTTAGAGGGCAGACCAGAAAGGGTGGATTATTATAACATAGGCACTCCTAAGATTCCCTTCTGAGGATGGGGAAGTGTACCCTAAAAGGGAAGCAGGAGGAGTCCCAAGTAAACACTTCATCTACTTCAAAATTTTGCCCAGGTGCAGCTCAGGAA